AAAGTGCGGTGGTTTTCTAGAAAAATGCTGCAACAAAGTGTGCGTGAAAGGAATAAATTGTCTTGGGAGCAAGTGTAGTGTAGATCTCGATTGCGATTAGCCTAAAGAAAAATGTTGCAGCAACGTGTGCGTGAAGGGAAAGAATTGTCTTGGACGCAAATGTCTTGCGCGTGAAAACTGCGGTGGGTATCAAGAAAACTGTATCAAGAAGCAAGGATTGCTCTTGGAGCAAGTTTCGCGTTATGATGCAGACTGTTATTGGACTCGAGAAAAATGTTGCAACAACGTGTGTGTCAAAGGAAGGAATTGTCTTGACAGTAAGTGTTTTTGGGATGGGCACTGTGGAGGGCATCGCTTTTGGCGTCTGTGTGTTGATTGTTATTGTCAGTGGAGGTTTCATTTTTGGTGCCACTGCATATGTCCAAAGAAGAAGAAGCAGGAAGAAGAGGCTTTGTCAGGTTGGACTTCGGGCCACACAGCAGCCAAGAAAAGCTCATCAACGAGGAACCATGCACTTGACGATAAAGAAACTTGCTTCTTACTCAGACGTCAAAAATACTTCAAGTTCAGTTTTTTTGATTTAATCAACCAATTTTCCAAATATACAGGCACTTTTCAGTAACGGTTATACTTGCCATCTCCAAGACGAAATTGCTWTGTGTAGACAACAGTTCTATGTGCATCGYGTTTACATAATTTCAGATCGGAAACGAATGTAAATAAATCACTACTATTGGAACGCAGCCGCGCGTGTCAAAACCATCACGTCAGAAAGGGAATTTTTCGCATTCTCTCATTCATCAGTTGATGTTTTCAAGCATGATGATCAAAGTATTCCTCGTTTTATTTTTTTGCAGTGTTAATGTGTTTTTGAGTTGTTTTGGCCGAAATTTCTGAGTTTCTGAGCTAGGGTTGCCTATGTTGTAGTTTGAGGTACATTTGACTGACATGTGCAACAGACACTGACCGCTTATCGCTCGTTTGATTTATGTTACTGAACTGTCAGTCATCTAGCTCCTCCAGAGTTACTGAGCTGTACAAAGATGTAAATTGCCTAAGGAACGGTCCAATTAACTTTTGAGGGGACGGGGGGGGGATGATTTCTTATGAGCAAGATTTTCTTTTCTTCGTGGCTTTTGGGTAGGATATATTTTTTTCTCTCGGTGGTGTGTAGGATTTTTTTTCTTCCTGTATGTAACATTTTTTGGGGGGCTTAGGATGATGCAAGATTTTTTTTAGGTCCATATGTTGTGCACGATTTTTATTTTTGGTGAAGATGGCTTGCACGATTTTTTTNAGATGTAAATTGCCTAAGGAACGGTCCAATTAACTTTTGAGGGGACGGGGGGGGGATGATTTCTTATGAGCAAGATTTTCTTTTCTTCGTGGCTTTTGGGTAGGATATATTTTTTTCTCTTGGTGGTGTGTAGGATTTTTTTTCTTCCTGTATGTAACATTTTTTGGGGGGCTTAGGGTGATGCAAGATTTTTTTTAGGTCCATATGTTGTGCACGATTTTTATTTTTGGTGAAGATGGCTTGCAGGATTTTTTTTCAAAATCATCCCCCCCCCTATCAAAAGTTAAATGGACTGTCCCTAAACATGAAAATACGTTCGACTCATATACTTTAGTTAACATAGTAGAAGCTTGATGCTATTGTTTTTGTTTATTTACTTTAATGTATGAGTCGACTAATCTTAATATGGCATAAAATAGCTGAAAACTGCTTATCTATTCTTCGGTATTCTGCCTCGAAACAATTACAAATAGAATACGTAGGAATAAAATCATAACATTGGTCAATTGGAACGCACCAGTCGTGTTCAACACACCTTTTCAGTTGCTCTTATTCCTCGACAGCGTGTTAAATATTAATTTGTAGGAATGTGAGCAATGCAAACATTGATCTGAATTAGTCTCCCTAAGTGCAACTGTCAGGTTCCGATTTCATGTTTGGTGAAGGAYTTCAAAGATTGCGATGAAAGTTGTCCTTCTTGCTGTCGTATTTTGTAGTGTTTCGCGGTGTCATAGTCGATTCTGTGAAGACGATTCTTTTTGTTCTTCCAATCAAGTGTGTTGTMATGATAAATGCACCAAGGGTTCAAGCTGTGTCGGCCATCGATGCATTACCTCCAGCAACTGTTTGTCGTCGGAATCTTGCTGTAAAAACGTTTGCGTAAAGGGAACGAGTTGTCTTGGTCGTAAGTGTGGTAGCGATGCCGACTGCATTATGCCTCAAGAAGAATGCTGCATTGATAAATGTACGGACAGCGAATCARCYGSTCTTTGCGTGGATGTCCTAAGCTTCGTCGTGATTGTAGTTGGATCTGTTGTGTTYACAGGCCTTAGTAGTGTAGYTCTTGTTCTTTSSGTCATTGTMTATCTTAGRARRAGAAACAGAAATAGGACTCAATTACACGGCCAGCTTACTGCACGACTTACCATGGATAATAAAAGCACAAAGCAGAGTTACCAACAGTTCAACAACGACGAATCAGAAGGTAACGAAACTCATGAAATGGCGTCGGCTTCCTACGACCTKGAGATGATTGTTACARCAAAGGATTCTGAATWACAATAAAACAATTTAAACAAAATATGGAGTCCTCGGACATTAAGGGACATCTTATAGTTGTCTGAATAAGCTGATCTTAAATGTTCAACGACTTTAACGACGAGAAATATATATAGAGAATCAGGCTAAAATTTGCTTTAGATGCGTTGTTAGGTGWATTGCCTTGACAGCCTATCGATTTATGACTGACTCACCCTAGACAAAAGCTGCGCTGGTAGCTTCTTGGTGCATTTGATGGAGGAYATATATCAGTTGCAATAGCTGGCGTCGTCGTCCATAAAAGAAGATTAAAGCAACAGAATTCAGTCATGCACAGTGCAGCGCAGACAAATATTTGAACATGCATCACAGTAGACGTACCAATAAATCAACAACGGAGAACCATCTCAATGAAACAACATGTTGAAGGCGAACAGTACTTTCTGTTCCTGCTCCCGTAAATGACTTTACGCTTTGACGTGAACCATTTGACAAAAAGAGCTACTAGGCCACACGCAACTTCTCCGATATAACCTATATGAATTGTTTGATTTAAAAAGAAATAACGTAAATATATATGAATGTACACAATATAATAAAATATAATAACTTCTTTTGAACATAATAAATTGTATATGATGAAGAAGTTTTGACAAATACGTTCAGCTTAAGCTTAAAAGAAAAAAAGGAGACATTGAATATACTGTGGTTACAAAACTTGTATTTGATTCGAGGTTGATTCAGAGAAAATGAATGAGGGCTAGGATGAAAAATTGCTTTTTTYTCTTTTCTCATATAAATTCACAATACAATTTCCATTTCGTACCACAATACTTTTTGTGATTGGCTTTTCAGAAGGTCATGACAAGGAACTGGGGAATAAATTCTTGGTTTTGCAAATACAACAAAATGAATCAASTCAATGAAAAGCTGCTCATGGGTGTAGATATAATTAATATGCAATATGGAAAGTATTCCTAGAAAGCCTAACTTTTTATGCTTTAGTTTTCAGGTGGATTATAGCTAARTAATCAGTTTGTCTTTGGACACGCATAGGCCAAACGTAAACATATGACAGAGAGCGAACTAGAACAAAACAAAAGTACATAACACTTCGGACCGAAACTGAAAGACTGATGGAATAGCCGGTCTAATATCGCCAGGATCAAAACATCTGCCATTCAAATGCCATTTTCTAAATGGTCAACACACAAGGAGTTTTAAAAACACTGAATATAACATTTAGGCAACCTTCAGTATAGCACACAAATTGGAAGCGGAATAGCTATACCGAATACTTTTATATAAACTGGTTGGTATTGAAGAAATAGTGTTTTGATGTTTCAATTTTGTGCCTAAAATATCTGCATATTGTGACGTCATTGATAGTTTTCAAAACATGACTGTCTCGATTGATTGCGCCTAAACGGAAAAGAAATGGCGACGAAAGTCAAATCGTTCGCTGCGATTCTCTTCCTTGTACAGATTTGCTCTGTGCCAGCGCAGCATTGCTTTAACAACACAAACCAATGCGGAGAAGGAAACGTCTGCTGTCACAACCAGTGTCAGTATGGAAGCGATTGTGTGGGAAAGTTCTGTTCGAAAGAATCCGACTGTTTGCAAGATGAGTCGTGTTGTGGAAGCGAGTGCTGGAGCGGTCTGACTTGCTATGGACATTCTTGCTCTTTGGGTTCCGATTGCTCGTCATATGAAGTTTGTTGTCGTGGAGTTTGTGGCTCGAGTTGTGATGATACCAGCTCTTCCTTTTCAACTATTAYCGGCACCATCTTTTCAGTTTGTGGTGTTGGKGTCGTCATCTTAATCTATGTCGCWCTTTGCTGGTGTCGCAGACGTCGTCGCGTTGGACTGTGCGTAGTAAATGCAAGTCAACCAACCAGAATAATAACAGCTACATCAGTTCACACAAATTATCGTCAACTTCCTTCTTGTCCGCCAATGCAAGAGCAAAACTTCTACCATCCACAACCCCAACAGTATCATSAAACGGTCGCTCCAGAAGTCAGCCAGCCAACATATGCTCCCCCTCCTTATGAAGAATAGAAAACAGCTACTAGACTTTGTAACAACGGCAACATTAAGAAATAACACGCAATGTACTGAACCTTGCTATCATGTAAACATTTTCATTAAAAAGTTACGGTATTCTATGCATATAAAACTATAAACTTGTCAACAACAAATCGAAATTAAAATGCAGACTCATAATTTAAATATCTCAAGATGTTTCAATCTGAGAGGATTCTAATTTAGCTTACTGAAAAAAAGTTGGATCAATGGAAATCCGATTTATTTAAGGCTATATAATCAGTAAAATCAGTGACTTTTAAAGAAGGAAACGGCCTGGGATCTAAAGTCGCGCTATATTAAACCCGACTATAAAGTCGCTTACAAGGCATAAAATCGGAGAAAAGCAAGTATAGGAGYAAGGCTATGCAGGCTTAAGTCGAGTACAAAAACATAAAGGCTAATATGGAATCATATAATGATGATTATTAATGATGATGATATAAATGATATATATTAAAAAAAGTATAACTTTCAGTATTTTTTAGCTAGCTGTAGCTCTGAACTGAATTGGAAGATACTATCTTGTTCCATACTAGTAAATCAAGTTGGATAAAACCTTGTAAAAATACAGACCAAGTGTCCTTTCAGCTCTATACTGAGTTTATAAGTTCCATGCCATTAAATAAGTTCTGTAAAACTCTCTGTTCTTACATACTAAATTAACTAGGGAAGAATATATACAGTCATTTGCAAAAACTGTTATGGATAGAGATATGTACTTATTTACTATACACATATATATATTGAGATTCACAAAATAACTAATAACACATCGATACATTCAAGGGGTGCATTTCTCTAAATTTATGACAAAATAACCCCGGGGAGGGTATGGTTTTTGGTCTTGCTGTCTTAAACAGGGTATACATTTCACCCGAAATTGTCTTAAACAGGCTCTACAATTTCGATAAAAGACTGATATAATTTTTTTGTGTCTTGGACAGGGTAATATTTTCATAAGAAATTCCGTAGAAATACCCCGTTTCACTGTACCAGGATTAACGTATGATATCAGTATAATTGCAGTTTTGATGGTTGCGGCGTATATAGCGATTCCTTATTTTTCCGACTTGTCTTGAACAGGGTATGCCTGGATTTTCACTTTATAGTGGACGGGTTTAATTACTTACACCTTCGGCTGGCTTCTCAAACGCATGCATGAGATAAAGACAACTGACGTGAATTTGAAGCAGAATTATTGCTTTTTGATCAATAAAACTGACATCAAACTCTTCGGAAAATTGGACGCATTCAACGGTCGAATCTGGTCTCGAAAACTATCAGTCTAAGTTGACAACACATTCTTTTTACGTTTCTGTGGTTTTTCAGAAATAAATATGAATTTAAAACGTTCTCAGAAGGCTTTCTTGGGGTTTAAGTTGTCTTAAAATTTTAATTTAGACATCCCTCTGCATCTCATTCGAGATTTTCGACTGAGATCTTAAATAAACCTTGACATTTAAGCTCATACGTTGATTGTACTTAACGTTTTTTTTCTACTGCACATCACAGGGTCGGTAAATATGACCGTGAGCCTCGCTATTTTAGTTCTTCAACTCACGTTCAGATCCATGTTAGAGTGATTTTGTCAATTTCCAGTAGCCCGATGCGAGCGCTCTTTGAGCGTTTTTAAAATGCTTTCTAATCACATGCCGTAGCGCATCAAAGTCCACTTGCTATTTTTACGTCACGCCAAAGCGAACGTATAATATATCGATTTATAGGGCACAAGGTTCAAATATAAACGATCACTTTCATGCCGTGACAACTCACGGATATGTGTGACGGCATGGCTGAATGACTTTTGAGCTTTCTTGTTGGAACAACAAACTTTTGGTCGTGTTTCTATGTTTGTTTCTCTCCCTTCGTCCATCTTTTATCGCTGTCCCATACTGTTTGACAATTATTTCCGGATTTCTGCGAAAGGAAGATCAATGACGTAATTTTTGACAGTAATGACGTTATATGTCACGAGATCGAGGTTCAAAATACACTAGCATTGTGCAACTTAAATCGCTCCTACAAGCAGGGAAGATGGCGTTCAAACTGTGGCTGGTAGCTGGTGCTTTCCTCGTGTGTTTTTGCAGTATTTCAGCGACTTATTGTAGCGGTCGCTACTCGTCTAGCTGTGATTCAAACTACGTGTGCTGCAATAASCAATGTGTTTATGCCTCGTCGTGTTATGGTCGTTACTGTTCAACGGACTCTGATTGTTCTTCAGGGGAATCGTGTTGCAGCTACACTTGTACGGACAGCCTCAACTGTTATGGTCAATATTGTACATCCAGCTCCGATTGTTCTGGTTCAGAGATTTGTTGTTCAGGAACATGCGATTACAGTTGCGATACAGGCATAGGAATCATCCTTGGATCGATCTTTGGTTCCATCTTTCTTCTTTCGATGTTATTCGTGGCTATTATTTGTTGTCGAAACAGAAGAAGAGTTAATACAGGATATGTGGTCAGAAATCCACAAGCAGTAACTGCAACCACAACAACTACAAGAAACTACTCTACGTATCCGCCATTACAAGGACAACAACATYATCCTCAACAGCCACCTCCTCAATACGGAACTATTGCTCCTCCACCTTATGAAGTGCGCGTTGCCGATGCTTGAACTGAATTCTAGGCAACTTTCGCGCGTTTTGTGGCAATCTGGACGTATGTTTTCAAGTCCAAACGACAAAAAACTTTTCGAATGTTTGCATGTATTTGTCTCAATTGACCAGGGATATATATCATAGCATGGATTTATAGAGGAATTTTTAGACACTTGCACTAATAGCGACCTAATATTTTTGTTTGTTTGCATATTAGGGGCGATTCATTAGACTTGAAGGCGGGATGGAAGATGGAGTTGGTGCACGAATTTTTTTTTTTTCAACTTCAGGCGCGTGCCTGCAATTTTTTTTGTAAGTTTACAAAAGCTTTAGTGGAGTTGCACTATATAAGTCGCTTGCAATAGCGTTAAAACAGACAAAAGAAAGTAGTGAGATCCAGGAGTAAGCCTTATGCAGGCTTAGGTGGTAGTACAAAAACATAAAGGCTGATAATATTCTGCTAATATTGAATCATGATGATAATTAATCATGATCATAATGGTATATATTTAAAAAAGTTAACTTTCAGTTTTTTTAGCTAGCTCAGAACTGGAAAATGTTATCTTGTTAGAACTTGTACCTATTCAGCTCCATACTGACGAGTAAGTAAATTTTGATGTTTTTATTGAATCTTTTATGTTTAAGATGTTTGTAAATTGTCCATTAAAGTTCTGAAAAACTCTCTATTTTTACATAGTAGATTAATAAGGAAGAATATATACAGTCAATTGCAAAAAGGTTATGGATTGAGATACGTACTTCACTTATACACATATCATATGTTTATATTATATACTATGAGATTCACAAAATAACTAATGGCATGAAGAGATACGTTCAAGGGGTGCATTTCTCAAAATGTATGACAAAATACTACCTAGGAGTAAGAAAGTAGGAACATCATGTAACTGATGGGATCCCATATGTAGAAATGCCAACTATATCAAGTTTTAATGGTTTTGAATTTAGGCTATGAGAAAGCACAGTTGCCAACACATTCTTTTTATTACGTTTCTGTGGTTTTTCAGAAATAATYTATATGACTTTAAACCGTACTCAGAAGGCTTTCTTGGGGTTTGAGTTGTCTTGAAATTTTATTTAGACATACTTCTGGCGATTTTCGAGATCTTAGATAAACGTTGATTGTACTTTTTTTTCTACTGTASACCAACAGGTACAAATCCATGTTATAGTGATTTTGTCAATTTCCAGTAGCCCGATGCGAGCGCTCTTTGAGCGTTTTATGAAAATGCTTTCTTATCACATGCCGTAAYGCATCAAAGTCCACATGCTATTTTTACGTCACGCCAAAGTGMATGTATGGTATATCGATTTATAATATAAACAATCACTTTCATGCCGTGACAACTCACGGATATGTGTGACGGCATGGCTGAATGACTTTTGAGCTTTAGTTTTGGAACAACAAACTTTYGGTCGTGTTTCTATGTTTTTTTCTCTCCCTAGTCCATCTTCTATCGCTGTACCTCGACTATTTAACAGTTATTTCCGGATTTCTGTGAAAGTGAGATCAATGACGTAATATTAGTCTATTTCTTGACAGCAATGGCGTCATTTGTCACGAAATCGAGGTTCAAAATACACCACAGCAAGTATCATAGTGTGCAAGTCAAATCTTCTCTAAGCAAGGAAGATGGCATTTAAACAGTGGCTGCTTKCTGGTGCTTTCCTCACGAGCTTTTGCTGTATTTCAGCGACTTATTGTAGCGGTAGATACTCGTCTAGCTGTGATTCAAACTACGTGTGCTGCAATWACCAATGTGTTTATGCCTCGTCATGTTATGCCCGTTACTGTTCAACGGACTCTGGTTGTTCTTCAGGGGAAAAATGCTGCAATAACCAATGTATTGATGGCTCGTCGTGTACTGGACGTTACTGCTCGGTTGACTCTCATTGTTCTTTAGGGGAATCGTGTTGCAGCTCCACTTGTACGGATAGCCTCAACTGTTATGGTCGATCTTGTACATTCAGTTCCGATTGCTCTGATTCAGAGATTTGTTGTTCAGGAACATGCGATTACAGTTGCGATACAGGCATAGGAATAATCCTTGGATCGATCTTTGGTTCCATCTTTCTTCTTTCGATGTTATTCGTGGCCATTATTTGTTGTCGTCGAAACAGAAGAAGAGTTAATACAGGATATGTGGTCAGAAATCCACAAGTAATAACTGCAACCACAACAACTACAAGAAACTACTCTACGTATCCGCCATTACAAAGACAACAACATTATCCTCAACAGCCACCTCCTCAATACGGAACTATTGCTCCTCCACCTTATGAAGTGCGCGTTGCCGATGCTTGAACTGAACTCTAGGCAACTTTCGCCCATTTTGTGGCACTGTGGACGTTTGTTGTCCAAACGACAAAAGCTGTTTTCAAATGTTTGTATTTGTCTCAATTGACCAGGGATGTGTGCCATAGCATGGATTTAGAGGTATTTTTAGTCACTTCACGTTACTGTTTTGCAAATTGTATGTACAACTACTTTGTAATTTGTCATAAAACTGAATACATAAGATTGTCTGATCGATCTCAGTCTGATCTGATGTCTGATSGACGATGTACAGAAATATATAGAATGCGGAAMATTCTTTGTTGAACTGCACCTAAAGCGACGATGGATATTGAAAGCGGAAACTTAAGTGTATTTCGTGAAGCATATTTCATAATCATTGAAATTGTACGAATTTGTAAGTTATTTAGAATACAATATATATCTGTAAAGTTTTGACGTAAGTTTTTCTCTGGGATTTCACTGTACAGAACATCCTCGAGTATATCCAGAGGTTATACCGTTCTTGAACGAGACATCGTCGTCTGATATGTCACGACAACTAATAACTGCGTGATCGCGTGACAATACTCAGATCACGTCACGAAATRTGACAGCAGGCTTTGCTCTTTCCGTTAGCTGATGCTTCTGAGCACAAGTTTTAAGGCTTATTTTTATTTTTGAACCCAAATAATAATCAAATAACTGTGATTCAAGTTMTCGGCTGGTGGTTCCGACCTGAATACATACATTTCTAAACAAAAGCATTCTGTAGGGCACGAGTTTGCGAAGAGGTGAATTGGATTTTCTCCATTGGGATTGAGTAAAAAAAATGGTATTGGGAATGGGATTTGGCCGCTGTTTCTTGTCCATTTATTGCTAAAACAATGTTCTAAAATTCTAATTTATAAAATTTTACTCCTTTTAGTAGTCTAAAAGAAAAACTCGAAATAAACTTTAGCTAAGACTGTGGTAATTGGAATTTTGCTACAAATTTTATTGGGAATTGGCTTGCCTACCCTCTTCAGGATACGTTATACCCATCATTTCAAACCTATGCATTCCTTTTGAAATAGATGAGGTGACGGTTTTGTCCGCCATTTTGGACCGGTAGGCATAGTGTCGCAAAATAACAAGGAATGACCGGGAAATCGATGTCAAATAATTCTCGTTGAATTCAAATTCAGAAAGAATTATCAATTGCAAACGTTAGATACTACAAAAAGGAGCATACTGGCCAAATTTGAAGGATGTGCTTCGTCTAGGGAGCGAGAAAATTTATTTTTAGTTCTCAATACATTTCTTTGTATTTTTCACGCGCGTCACGCACTGATGACCCCGGAAATTATAACGAAATGTATTGAAATTACAAAGAAATGTATGGAGAACTAAAATGAGTTTACTCGCTCTCTAGATCAAGTACGCCTTTCAAATTTGGCCAGTTAACTCCTTTTTGCAGTATCTAACGTTTGCAAATGATAATTCTTTCTGAATTTGAATTCAGCGAGAATTATTTGACATCGATTTCCCGGTCATTCCTTGTTATTTTGCGACACTATGCCTACCGGTCCAAAATGGCGGACAAAACCGTCACCTCATCTATTCTAGCATTTTTGAAAGGCTGCAAATTGCTATCAATCAGATCTGAAAGTACATTTTGCGATTTTGCATATCTCGATGTGGTCTTTCAGTACTCGTTTTAACTGTTAAAACAGTTGATTATGCATGCTTTTTTCCGAGTACGACTGATTTTCGCGGGCTTGTAATTTCGTAAACGGAACATGGGTTCTTCTCGGGCGTTAATTTTCGGGTTTTTGTCACATATAATTGCTTCAATATATGGCCATTTTTGCGCAAACTTAGTTTTGCCGACATTTTCTTTAAAAAACGACGCTATCATTATTTATATGGTCACAGGAAGCCCATGTGTGAGTGACTTGGGAGTAGTATTGTCTCATTCAGTCAGAGCACTCGATGTGTTTATATTATATATATATATAAATACGAATTGAAAGTCGATGTACTTTTGGAACGAGGTTCGAAGTACACCGTGTSTATAAAACCACGCATTGTGCAACTTGCCGCTCCCACAAGCAAGCAATGAACATGCCGCTCAAACAGTGGCTGCTTGCTGGTGCTTTCCTCGCGAGCTTTTGCAGTATTTCAGCGACATATTGTATCACCAGTGGCTATTCGTCTAACTGCGGTTTAAACAACATGTGTTGTAATAACCAATGTGTTTATGGCCGCGCGTCGTGTACTGGTCGTTACTGTTCGGTCGACTCTGATTGTTCTGCAGGGGAATCGTGTTGCAGCAACACTTGTAGGGGTGGCTATGATTGTTATGGACAATCTTGTACACACAGCTCCGATTGTTCTGMTTTAGAGGATTGTTGTTCAGGTTACTGCGAATATAACTGTTTCGATCACTATCCAATAAGCTCAAGCGGTCAAATCATTGGAGTAATCCTTGGATCGATCTTTGGTTCCATATTCTTGGTTTCGATGATAGTTGCCATCGTAATTTGTTTCCAAAACAGAAGAAGGGCCAATACGGGATATGTGGTCAGAAACCTTAGACAAATATTAAACACAACAACTTTACGTCCGCCATTACAAGGACAGCAACACCATCATCAGCCACCCCCTCAGTACGGAGCTATACCACCTCCACCCTATGAAGAGCGTGCCGCCGATGGCATGGTTGGTAACTAGAAACCTGAATTTAAGGCAACTTCCTTACATTGAGTTGCTGTTGAATTGAATTGAGTTACTCAGTTAACGGATTTTCTGTGGGTCTTAAAAAATGGGAGATTTATATGCCGTGGCATGCAGTCTTTAGAGATATTTCTAGTCGATTCAAGTTGCTGTTTCATGCAAAAGCTTTAATATATAACCGAAATGATATAAGAAAAACTCGTTTTCACAACTGCTTCACGATGTACACTAGCTAATACATAGAAGTGAACGTGTACGGTTATGCAGAATGCGGAAAATTCAGTAAATGACAGTAAAAGTGGAAACTAAGAGTGTTTTTATATGAAACAAATTTCACCGATATGTTTTMATTTGAAATTTCAATGTTATAAATTTGACTAGGTCTGACGCTAAATGCCTTTTCTCTCTCTCTGCCCATCGTCATCCTTGAGAACTCAGGTAAGTTTCATAACAAAGGTCGTCCAGTTTCCTCTTAACAGCATCATTAATTTAGAAAATTGCTTAGCGAATCTCTTTCAGTGTTGAACATTTGACCTTTCAGTAAAAATGCGAGAGCGCTTGCAAAGGCACATTCTGCTAGGGCGGTCCAAGGGAGTGACCMGGGGGCTCGATAAATTTTTATTTTTAAATATTTTATATTTTTATTTTCATATGYTTTTAATTAAATATATCATAATAAAGATGTTTTCATTTTTTTTAATAAAATGTATCAAATAACGTAAGTAATAAAGCCCACAAAATGGAAACGTTTCTTCTCTCAAGACCTCAACTAGTGCTGAATCTTTGTATGCGGGCGCCAATCGCCCTTCAAAATTTCTTGATCCGCTGCTGACTAGTAGCATCTTGTGATATCTACTATCTCTTTTCAAGTCTTTTTGTACCATGGTCAGCAGACCTGAACAAGGACACAAAAAGCAGTCATTTTAATTTCTTACATTTTCTTCTTGAAAAGAAAAGAACATTTTTGGTATTGTAGATTTGCTTCCTGATATTTAACGAATTTAAAGGAACATGGTCCAYCATATATCATCCCTTTCGAGCTTTTGCTTTTGAAAATAAAAATACATCGTAATATAWGCAAAAACTTACTCTTTATTATGCCTTTATACTATATGAATGGTTTGGTGATACTGTAAGATTCGACCTTTAAACCGATGGATTTGAACGAGGGTTGAGGTTCTTTGAAAATGAGCCAATGACATCATATACATGTCTAACTGTCACGAGAACCGAGTTGCGTGAAATACATCCTTTTTAAGTCACGTAATGTGATAGCAACATGTTTTATCATGCACTTTCCGTTAGCTGATGGGCTTTGCTTTCACACCAAAATGGGTTGTCTATTTTGATCAATTTTATCGATAGTTTATCTTAGGCAATTCAGGGACTCTAATAATCTCAAAAACAGTTCATAACAAAAGTATCTTAAAACACAACAATAAAAWAAAGAGAAACACCGGACCTTTTAAGYTTGTGRGGGGTTTGTCCGAAGCGCCGCCAGTCTACGGGCCTGTGACGTCACGTGTGTTTTGAAGTAGTCTCCTTCGCAGCCTCCCCTTTTGTCGGGCTTCCTGTCCTTCCTGTCCTTCATCTCCTTTTGATGGGAAGAGAAAGTCCATCACCATATTAGTGAAAGTTTTAAGATGGCGGATTTTTGTATAAAAGCCAGGAAGGCGAAGTTTCCTTTCAAAATTAAMGCATCGAAGCTTAATAATCTTTTAAAAATTATCTTGATCCATTCGGACGGGAASGTCTACCTGGTATCTCTAAATCCTGTCGCTATTCACGACAGCAAAATCTTGAAATTCCGTACCTTTATAACGAGAAAAAATTGGTATAAAATGTAGATCATAATAACAACAGCCAGTGCTCCCGTAAGGCACCGTTTTTCTTTTTGACTTTATAGTTTACTAGACTGAAATATACACCCTGTATAAGACATGGTAAACATAGAAATTAGCCCCTAACTGAGGACAACTGAMTGTCAATGTATACCCTTATAGACGCGAAGGGCATAAACCATACCCAAAACCATAGTAAACACAGGGGAATTCCCCCACCGCGGCCCTACCCCGGTTTTCCATGCCCTCGAATTTTTATCTTTATCTAATCTTTTTCTGGAAAAAGCAAAAGTTTTTCAATACTTCCCTTAGTAGAAGGGTTTTTTCAATACGTGAAGACGCAATACGTAAAAAAATATATACAAAAATGATATAAAAATCGGCGGGCACAAAACCTTGGTGCCTATATACATGATATATGGAAATCCGGTTTACACTACACAACCATAAACTTCCCAACCGTGCCATAGGTTTACGAGTCAGTATAGGTAATGCTCGAGACCCGCGGGTATGTAGAGGCGAAAATATTAGAATGCGCAAAGAAAAGTGTGATTTAAAAAATTTATTGTGTAGATGAATAAATAATGCCCTATAGTTCTCGGAAAATATCTGCGTGACAAAAAGTATCTGAAAGTCACGTAAGGTGACACAAGCAATTTCCGTTTACTTGACGTACTTGAAGTTTCACGGAGTCCGAGCAACGAAGATGTCGTTCAGACAATGGTTGATCGCTGTTGCTTTCCTGGCAGGTTTTTTCTGTATTTCAGCGACATATCGGTGTCCTTGCGATTCAAGCCAGGTGTGCTGTGATGGTCAATGTGTGACTGGTTCGAGCTGCACTGCTGGTCAATCCTGCTATAAACTAGATGACTGTCATTCAGGGGAAGTATGTTGCAGCGGTGTGTGTTATGAAGGTGATAGCTGTTCAGGTCGTCAGTGTATTGATGACGGAGATTGCGCTGACGTTGATGAGATGTGTTGTTCAAATCATTGCAAGATTGTAAACGGGGGTARCTGCGACAACGTACCCATTGCACTAATAGTTGGACCGATCTTCGTGTTGCTGATCTTGATTTCCATTCTGGTTATTATTTGTATTCGTTTTCGAAACAAAAGACTACGTAATTCGGGGTTTGTGGAAGGAACACCATGGCAAATGATAAATGAAAAAAAACATACTTCATCTCCGCCATTGCAAGGACAGCAATCACCCCASTACGGAACAATCATTGTCCATTATCCGCCATTATCAGGTTAATGAGGTAAACGGCTTTTCATTTGTTCGTTCGACATTTCTACGAAGTTGAAACTGACGTGTGGATACACGATACAAAATAATAATTAGTAAAARTTTAATAATTTATCACAAATACAAACATTAGCTCGTAGTGCAGTATAATGATGTATAAGTGAAATAATATCATTATATAAATATGTCGAACGTAATAAGGCATTATGGAGAATAGAATATTTTTCATTTGTGGTCGATATTTGTGTAAATAAATTATAATGTTTACTTAAATTATAATGTTTTTAAATACGAATAAAGACGCAATTTTCTACATAAATGATGAAATGAATGCTAATGTTGATCATGCTAATGATTATTCATCAATATCATAATTATATCAAATTAGTGATATAGAGGATATTGCATGGGCGCGCGAGATTTTATCTAGCTACGAGTGTTGAAAAGATCTCTCATGTAGCGACCTTTCAGCACGAGAACCAAAGAAAATCTCCAAACGACCAAATTGTTAACTATGTTATAAATTAGAAATGTTCACGAATAGTAACACTATCTTATATCAAATAGTTAAAGTGTTGCATTCTTTTAGTCTTTTTACTCTATAGGTATTTCCGGCATATATAATTGTATGATAAATACCATTTTGACTATATTTGATAGTTTGTTTATTAAAACAGGTGAAGGAAACGAAACAAGACGCTTTCGAAATTACTGAATTTCGCTCAGACCGGAAATGCTCACAGCTTTCTTGTGTATTTACTGAAATGACATAAATGATCTCGTGACTACCACGAAAGCRAGTATAATGACGTAATAAAAGTAAGATGAAACCAAAAATTGTGCAACAACACTGCTAGTTTCCTCATCAGATCGACGAAGATGGCGTTCAAACTTTGGATTATCGCTCTTGCTTTTCTCTCAAGCTTTTGCTGTATTTCAGCGACTTATTGCAYCARATACTCGWMTGACTGTGATTCAAATTCCGTATGTTGTAGAAASCAATGTGTTTATGGCTCGTCGTGTACTGGTCRTTMCTGTTCGTACGACTCTGATTGTTCTTCAGGGGAAACATGCTGTAATAATGAATGTTGGGACAGCTACAGCTGCTATGGCCACAKTTGTGYGTTCSACTCYGACTGCTCGGRTAGTGAAGTTTGYTGTMATGGTATTTGTCAGTACAGCTGCTATTGGAYARATGCTGYAATCATATCTGGTATCGTCTTTAGCTCAATCGTCTTCGTTGGTTTCATCGTAGTCATCGTAATTTGTTGCCGAAGAAGACGAAGGCCCGTCGTCACAAACCAACCACAAATAGTCGCTGGAGCCACAAGCCATCCCACTTACTATCCGCCACTCCAAGGACAACCCTACTACCAACTACCACCCCCACAGTACGGAGCTATTCATCCCCCACCTTACGAGGTTCGAGTAGTTGATAGTGAAGTTCCAAATGGCGTTGGCGGAGCGAATTCTGCAAAAAAGATTTGAACCTACACCTCAAAGACTATATTAAACAATATACTCGAAAAAAAAGATAGATGGCCGCTGTATAGATAATTAGGTCCTACTTTAATAGTTGAGAGAATACTATTAGGCTTGTTTTAACATGACTTTAGTTTCTGTTATGACACTGCTATGGTCGAAGGAGAAACTTCTTTTATATATCGCAATCCCGAGATTCTTTGCAAGCTCAAGACTGTGGACCATATGTGTCCTTGTGACGACAACGTTTTTTGAAAAAGGTCTATATAACCACCATTACGGACTGCGCAATATTTATCAGGAGGGGGAGGGGGGACAAAATCTAATTTTATGTGCTTAAATAGGTGGCCAACATTTAAAATTAACTAAAATTTTACTTTGCGTAGTACTTAACGTTTTGGACCCTAACCCTAACCCCTACTGGTAAATATTGCGCAGTCCCTTAGTTTAGTTAGTTGTTGTGCATCATTTTGACCAGGACGAAGCTTGTCTTATCCTAGAAATAGTRGTGATATACTTCAATCAAAAACACATTATGTAAATACAACAAAAAAAGAATAAATAATTAAGATGGAATGTTGCAATTACGTTGATGTTAAATAGCGCGGATCCTTTTTCATCCAAACATTATGAAATTCACGCAAAAAAAATTGTTGCCGTGCCAACATACAGGAACTAAAATATTTTTTCCGAATGATATTTTAGAGAGTTGAGAACACTGACCACCGGTCCGCGGACCTCTCTCCATGGGCCATCTATGAAAACATGGCAAAATACCAAATAATGGATTTGAGAGATGACTATTCTATATTTGCTCATCGAACTGGTGTTTGAACTAATGATTTAAGTGAACCCACTCCCCCTTTCGTGTTACCCTTCCCCCTAAGGCTACATGTTTTTGATATAGGTAAGCGGTTTTTTTTCTTTCGACGAAAGACTATAGAAGAAAACGCCCTTTTACTAAAAGATTAGATGAAGGAGATCTCAAAGAGCATGAAGGTAACGCAGAAGATTTGAAAGATACGGGGCATTCCTGACGTAAAAGTGATTACAAGTATTCTATATTGAGTACGAGTGCTGCTATTATGACGCAGCATTCAATCGTAAATGATTCAGTAGATGCTGTACAAACCATAAATTTGCAGATGTACGTAGTTTTGAATGCTCTAAAAGACAGTATATGAATATTATATTTCGGTACTTTTATTTAATTCGATCGAGACGAGGTCATTTTACTGAGCTGAATTACCGGTCACGTGGTTGCAAAAGAAGAATTATTTGGTATTTTCCATGTTTTCATGGGTGGTTCGTGAATGTGGTCCATTGAGGGATCCACGGACCTGGGGTCAGTGTTTTCAACTTTCCCCGTTTATGATACAGATAGGACGCCGAAACGATGTATCTTCGTGGCTTTTTCGGGTAACTTTCCGACTGCACCACGGATAATGTGTATTATTTAAGTAATAGCAGGTTTTTTCCGTGACTCTACCGGTGAAATAGAGCACGCGTGATGTTGGGAGAGACACGAGAAAAGTTTTAAAGTCACGAGCCGGCAGGCGAAAGTAAATTGCTTTTCATCTTCGCATCAATTTTCCGGATGTCCAGACGCGTCGTAGTTTTTACAAATGATTGGCGGGAATATTTCTGTTCTTTGATTTCGATCTATTTGGAAGATAAGTGTTTAGGGAAACATTTCGATGTTTCAACAAATATTTTGGCGCTTTTGAAGTATGGTTTTCCTGTGGTGGTACACGGAATCCAGGAAGGAAAGGTGCGCGTACGCGCGGGAGCCCTGTGTCGGTCCATGAAAAATCGACTCGATGGATATACCATCATTTCGTTGCTATGGTGCTCCGCTAGGAGTTCCGCTAAAAATATTTTCATTCTTCATCTCATTCACCAAGAAGAGACTTGCTGATAAAGTTCTTTCAGTAGCCTTTGACAATGTAAAGAAAAAATAAGCAAAAGATTTTAATTTAATGAAATTTTTAATCATTAAAGTTAATTTTAAATTTAAATTAAATTTAAATTTAAATTTTGAATAATTTGAATTTAAAATTTTTAATTAAAATTTGAATTTAAAATTTTTAATAAAAAAAGATTTTTTTTATTTATTTATTTTATTTTATTTTTTTTATTTGAAAATAATGTCCACACCTTTTTCATGAGCATTGAATGTTTTACTTATGTCTAATAGTTGTGCAGTAAGACAAAGAAGGCCAGCATCCTTAGCAGCACTACACAGACTAATGTTCACAGCTTACTTGTGTATTTTTACTGAAATGACATAAATGATCTCGTGACTTACACGAGAGCGAGTATAATGACGTAATAAAAGTAAGGTGAAACCCATAATTGCAATGCAACACCTCTGCTAGTTTCCTCATCAGATCGACGAAGATGGCGTTCAAACTTTGGATTATCGCTCTTGCTTTTCTCTCAAGCTTTTGCTGTATTTCAGCGACTTATTGCACCAGATACTCGTCTGACTGTGATTCAAATTCCGTATGTTGTAGAAACCAATGTGTTTATGGCCTCTCGTCGTGTATTGGTCGTTACTGTACGACGGACTCTGATTGTTCTTCAGGGGAAACATGCTGTAATCATATCTGGTATCGTCTTTAGCTCAATCATCTTCGTTGGTTTCATCGTAGTCATCGTAGTCATTTGTTGCCGAAGAAGACGAAGACCCGTCACAAACCAAACACAAATAGTCGCTGGAGCCACAAGCCATCCCACTTACTATCCACCACTTCAAGGACAACCCTACTACCAACTACCACCCCCACAGTACGGAGCTATTCACCCCCCACCTTACGAGGTTCGAGTAGTTGATAGTGAAGTTCCAAATGGCGTTAGCGGAACGAATTCTGCAAAAAAGATTTGAAACACCTCAAATTGAAGACTATATTAAACAATTATACTTGAAAAAAAGATGGATATGACCGCTGCATTTAATATTTGAGAGAATACTTTTAGGCTTGTTTTAACATGACTTTCCTGTTATCACTCGAAGGAGAAACTTCTACATGTATATAATCACCATTAGGGACTGCGCAATATTTATCAGGAGGGGGAGGGGGGGGGGGGCAAATCTAATTCTATGTGCTTAAATAGAGGGCGGGCAACGTTTAAGTAATTAAGTAACAATGCGCTTAAGAACTAGGGAACTCTCTATTGTTCTGCGGCATTACAACTTCCCCACGTACGAATGTCTTGCTTTTCACACTGATTATGTATCAACGTATGGATAACACACTTTTGAAATAAAATGTGGATAAACTCTATTTTCAAATACAATTTCTTTTGTTTAAAAAAGCTCTTATCCAATCATAAGCAATCCAAACAATAGCCAAAAGATGCTTCTAATTTGCAATGTTCCCCACATAGAATTGCCTTAATATTGAAGTCAAAGAAAGCTTTCATGAAAGCGAAAACAGACATTAAATAAATTAGAAAAACTTGTAAAATTTATAGCAGATATTCATGTTTTAACCAATGGAATGGATGTATTATACAATGGCACAACTAGACCCTGACATCAGGGTGTACTCGTGCCCTAAATGTGTTGAAAAGTGCTGTCTCATTTAAAACTTTTCTTGTGTTTGACCAACCATGTAATATACTGTCTTTCTCAATTTTCAAAAATAGTTCGACCGAGTTGACGCTCTAAGGAGGGTCTGGTTTAGATGTAAAGAATAGTGCTACCAAAGGCATGCAGTTCATCTATACTGATAAATCACAAAGTGATTTGAAATCAAACTATATTAAGAGAAAACATTTGTGAAAGTAACTCCTTGTTGATT